TTTCGCGGATACTCACTGACATCCACCTAGTATACACAACAGTTTCAACCAACTCGCTTCGATCATCACAACTACTCAGGATGATTCGTCTACACGGTTCGCAGAAATGCTCAGACAATTCTCTCTCAATATACAAATACACATACACCTTCAAAGATTTCTCCTCCTACACCTACACCTCCTCCTCCTGCTGCTGCTGCTGCTGCTGATTCTAATCCTCCCTCTCAAATACCACAATTCCCCTCTCTCCCTCTCTCGATCACTCACTCGCTCGCTCGTAAACATGCAGGTTTCTCGCTCCCATGTCGATATTTTCAAGAACTCTCTCAACCATTCAGAGGAAGTAACTAACAGCTACCGAGAATTCGCTTGACATACAACACATAATATACACAAGACATTCATCCCACTTACACGCATGATCAGAAGTACTCAGGCTGATTTATTTACACGGTTATCACAAATTCTCACTACATCCTCTGACATCGCACAAACACACATACTACTTCTCCTCATCCTATTCCTCCTCCTGATCAAAATGTATGCTTCGTCTCAATATGCAACCTTGTCTTCTCCATATCCATGCATTCAAGACTGCTTCGAAGACTAAACAGGTAGGGTGACAGCTTTCGCGGATACTCACTGACATCCACCTAGTATACACAACAGTTTCAACCAACTCGCTTCGATCATCACAACTACTCAGGATGATTCGTCTACACGGTTCGCAGAAATGCTCAGACAATTCTCTCTCAATATACAAATACACATACACCTTCAAAGATTTCTCCTCCTGCTGCTGCTGATTCTAATCCTCCCTCTCAAATACCACAATTCCCCTCTCTCCCTCTCTCGATCACTCACTCGCTCGCTCTCTCGATCGCTCGTAAACATGCAGGTTTCTCGCTCCCATGTCGATATTTTCAAGAACTCTCTCAACCATTCAGAGGAAGTAACTAACAGCTACCGAGAATTCGCTTGACATACAACACATAATATACACAAGACATTCATCCCACTTACACGCATGATCAGAAGTACTCAGGCTGATTTATTTACACGGTTATCACAAATTCTCACTACATCCTCTGACATCGCACAAACACACATACTACTTCTCCTCATCCTATTCCTCCTCCTGATCAAAATGTATGCTTCGTCTCAATATGCAACCTTGTCTTCTCCATATCCATGCATTCAAGACTGCTTCGAAGACTAAACAGGTAGGGTGACAGCTTTCGCGGATACTCACTGACATCCACCTAGTATACACAACAGTTTCAACCAACTCGCTTCGATCATCACAACTACTCAGGATGATTCGTCTACACGGTTCGCAGAAATGCTCAGACAATTCTCTCTCAATATACAAATACACATACACCTTCAAAGATTTCTCCTCCTGCTGCTGCTGATTCTAATCCTCCCTCTCAAATACCACAATTCCCCTCTCTCCCTCTCTCGATCACTCACTCGCTCGCTCTCTCGATCGCTCGTAAACATGCAGGTTTCTCGCTCCCATGTCGATATTTTCAAGAACTCTCTCAACCATTCAGAGCAAGTAACTAACAGCTACCGAGAATTCGCTTGACATACAACACATAATATACACAAGACATTCATCCCACTTACACGCATGATCAGAAGTACTCAGGCTGATTTATTTACACGGTTATCACAAATTCTCACTACATCCTCTGACATCGCACAAACACACATACTACTTCTCCTCATCCTATTCCTCCTCCTGATCAAAATGTATGCTTCGTCTCAATATGCAACCTTGTCTTCTCCATATCCATGCATTCAAGACTGCTTCGAAGACTAAACAGGTAGGGTGACAGCTTTCGCGGATACTCACTGACATCCACCTAGTATACACAACAGTTTCAACCAACTCGCTTCGATCATCACAACTACTCAGGATGATTCGTCTACACGGTTCGCAGAAATGCTCAGACAATTCTCTCTCAATATACAAATACACATACACCTTCAAAGATTTCTCCTCCTGCTGCTGCTGATTCTAATCCTCCCTCTCAAATACCACAATTCCCCTCTCTCCCTCTCTCGATCACTCACTCGCTCGCTCTCTCGATCGCTCGTAAACATGCAGGTTTCTCGCTCCCATGTCGATATTTTCAAGAACTCTCTCAACCATTCAGAGGAAGTAACTAACAGCTACCGAGAATTCGCTTGACATACAACACATAATATACACAAGACATTCATCCCACTTACACGCATGATCAGAAGTACTCAGGCTGATTTATTTACACGGTTATCACAAATTCTCACTACATCCTCTGACATCGCACAAACACACATACTACTTCTCCTCATCCTATTCCTCCTCCTGATCAAAATGTATGCTTCGTCTCAATATGCAACCTTGTCTTCTCCATATCCATGCATTCAAGACTGCTTCGAAGACTAAACAGGTAGGGTGACAGCTTTCGCGGATACTCACTGACATCCACCTAGTATACACAACAGTTTCAACCAACTCGCTTCGATCATCACAACTACTCAGGATGATTCGTCTACACGGTTCGCAGAAATGCTCAGACAATTCTCTCTCAATATACAAATACACATACACCTTCAAAGATTTCTCCTCCTGCTGCTGCTGATTCTAATCCTCCCTCTCAAATACCACAATTCCCCTCTCTCCCTCTCTCGATCACTCACTCGCTCGCTCTCTCGATCGCTCGTAAACATGCAGGTTTCTCGCTCCCATGTCGATATTTTCAAGAACTCTCTCAACCATTCAGAGGAAGTAACTAACAGCTACCGAGAATTCGCTTGACATACAACACATAATATACACAAGACATTCATCCCACTTACACGCATGATCAGAAGTACTCAGGCTGATTTATTTACACGGTTATCACAAATTCTCACTACATCCTCTGACATCGCACAAACACACATACTACTTCTCCTCATCCTATTCCTCCTCCTGATCAAAATGTATGCTTCGTCTCAATATGCAACCTTGTCTTCTCCATATCCATGCATTCAAGACTGCTTCGAAGACTAAACAGGTAGGGTGACAGCTTTCGCGGATACTCACTGACATCCACCTAGTATACACAACAGTTTCAACCAACTCGCTTCGATCATCACAACTACTCAGGATGATTCGTCTACACGGTTCGCAGAAATGCTCAGACAATTCTCTCTCAATATACAAATACACATACACCTTCAAAGATTTCTCCTCCTGCTGCTGCTGATTCTAATCCTCCCTCTCAAATACCACAATTCCCCTCTCTCCCTCTCTCGATCACTCACTCGCTCGCTCTCTCGATCGCTCGTAAACATGCAGGTTTCTCGCTCCCATGTCGATATTTTCAAGAACTCTCTCAACCATTCAGAGGAAGTAACTAACAGCTACCGAGAATTCGCTTGACATACAACACATAATATACACAAGACATTCATCCCACTTACACGCATGATCAGAAGTACTCAGGCTGATTTATTTACACGGTTATCACAAATTCTCACTACATCCTCTGACATCGCACAAACACACATACTACTTCTCCTCATCCTATTCCTCCTCCTGATCAAAATGTATGCTTCGTCTCAATATGCAACCTTGTCTTCTCCATATCCATGCATTCAAGACTGCTTCGAAGACTAAACAGGTAGGGTGACAGCTTTCGCGGATACTCACTGACATCCACCTAGTATACACAACAGTTTCAACCAACTCGCTTCGATCATCACAACTACTCAGGATGATTCGTCTACACGGTTCGCAGAAATGCTCAGACAATTCTCTCTCAATATACAAATACACATACACCTTCAAAGATTTCTCCTCCTCCTGCTGCTGATTCTAATCCTCCCTCTCAAATACCACAATTCCCCTCTCTCCCTCTCTCGATCACTCACTCGCTCGCTCTCTCGATCGCTCGTAAACATGCAGGTTTCTCGCTCCCATGTCGATATTTTCAAGAACTCTCTCAACCATTCAGAGGAAGTAACTAACAGCTACCGAGAATTCGCTTGACATACAACACATAATATACACAAGACATTCATCCCACTTACACGCATGATCAGAAGTACTCAGGCTGATTTATTTACACGGTTATCACAAATTCTCACTACATCCTCTGACATCGCACAAACACACATACTACTTCTCCTCATCCTATTCCTCCTCCTGATCAAAATGTATGCTTCGTCGCAATATGCAACCTTTCTTTTTCAGTATATATGTGGTCATGTGTGATTTTCAGAATTGTCTTTGTATGAGGTGCATAGGTTATGGTGATGGATGCTGAATTTTCATGTGGATTTACTTTTTGGAACTGTTCAAATCATTGGAAAACTCTGGGGTGAATTTATCTGCGTAATTTAGGGGATAAGTTCGACTTAACGAGGGTGCAGAAACGGTATGAGTATCTCTGTTATTTTGGAATGTGGAATTCAGACTTTTAGCTGGTTATTTATTATCTTTATTCGAATCAACAGATACGAGCTGTTTCCTATTCAAGATTTCGAACTAGTCCTGTAGAATTATGGATATTACTGGATTTTCAGCCGGCAGAGTATGGTGCTCTTTGAAAATTATGGGCGCATGGTTGCATAAGAGACGGCCATAATACACATGATTTATCAGGAAAATCTACACGTATTAGGCTGTTCCTGATGACAAAACCGAGGTAGCTTCAAACAACTATATATCACACATCGCATCGGAGTAAATTAGATTGACTTCATTCGAGTACGATGAAGCGTTAGACACAGAACACAAAATATACACCGGGATAAACATTTTTGCTGACACATGACATCTATGTATAATGGAAAACAAATTGAACATATTACTCCTAGGTATTTAATATAGTTCACTCAAAAAAGTTCAGTGATTGTAATGTCAAAAAATAGTATAAATGCTTTGTAAAAATCTGTTTAAGTTAAATGCAGTTCCCTAGACGCCTCTGAATACAGTGGGACACACTCACCGCCTACACTTCTTACTCGGCAGGAACTTCTTCACCATTGCTATCCATAAGTTTTGCTTTCTTTGAGTTGGGATCACTGTGCCCGTTTGTTTGAATACTTTCAACCTCAGACGAATTTTCGGACACACTGGCGGCAATAGGGCGTTTCTTTCTTACCAGGTGTGATATGTCGCCAGCCGGCTCAACGTCACCGTTAGACGGTTCGACGGTTGGTACAGAATTAATCACATTGCCAGCTAATCGATCTTCCTCGATTTCAGCGCAGCGTTTCTCGATATCTGGTATGAGAGTCTCTAATTCTTTGAGGGTTGTCTGTAGTAAATTTTCTTCTTCCTTAGCATCTTCTTTAATCGATGCTATTTTGTTTCTCATGTCTTCCGCTACTAACTTAAGGCATTTAACTGATTCTTCAAAATGGCTTCTTGCATTTTCTAGGTCTCCGGAAACGGCGTAGGTTGCAGCTAGTTGATAGTAGCTTTCAGCCACAGAGCGATTAGACTTGCCCAGAAGGCCCATTCGGATTTCCAAGCACTCCTAAAAATGAAAAAGAACAAAATTGCTACGCTGAGACAATCTTAACCGTTTTCAGACGCTTTCGCATACGTACATCTATAAGCCTAACCATGTTATAGTTACGCATTTCAGTAACCAAAGAAAATCAAAAGGCTGAAGTCAGGTTACCACTGGTGCAGGGAGCACTTCGGTTGCAGTAAATTCGTCAAGTGTATGGTACATAACATAAAAACTAGTAGCTGAGTCAAAGCCATGTACTCGTGTCTTAATTGAAAAATTTGACTTTTGGTATGAATTAAATTTGATAAACAGCTCAGCTAATCTAGTCTTTTGCACACAAGTTAGACAGGTAACTTACTCTCAGTCGACCAGATTCGTACTTCAATGGCGAGATAAACAGGAAGGAGATACGAATTCAAATTGTAACCGCTGCTTTGTGTAGAATGCGCATATATCTTGGAATGAAGTCCTAGTATACGAATATTTATTCAACTATGGTTGAATCCATTGAAAAGGGAGTGAATTTTACACGCTCTTGTTTAGTTTTGGCTTTTGTTGTGTTATACGCTCCAAAAGTCTACAGATTAACTTTAAATCAGTTTATTCTGATCAAAGTTAGTTTAATTTTCAGATCTGAGTCTATTTAAATTATAGGAAATTGTGTCTTATAACATAATAGTTATATATATATATATAGATATATATTTGTGCACTAATTGATTTTTATCGCTGATTTATAAAGGTCTATAAACATCTAAGTTATATTTAAATTTCTTCGCCAGTCCATTCTAGACAGTATGCCCATCAAAAAAAACCGCTGCGGAAGGGTTATGTGCCAGTTCACAGTGGATGAGGGAATGCAGTGTGATAACTGCAAGAGATGGTTTCACAGTATGTGCACAAACCTAACTCCTGCAACATACAAACGCTGCTGCAAACCTCTAGCAAACTGGTTGTGCAATGACTGTTGTAGTACTACCAAACTCCGTATTACAGAAGCCATTGCCACTCTCAGTGGGGCTTTAAAGCTGATGGACTTCAAGCGTCTTACGCTACAGGAGAACACCGACTATTGCTCAGACAACGATGACGTGACTAGCGTCATCGACAAAACAGCACATGTCTCTGATGCTTCTCTATCAATAAGTGAGTGCCCTTCAGCACCACTTTCCAGACACCCAGGCTGCCCCCACGATACTGGATAAGCCCTCCAGTGACAGTAACGGAAAGACTGCCACAAAGAAGAGGCGTACCAGGGGTCGTAAACCTGCAACTCAAGTCACCCAGGGACTAGTGGATCAAGCCTCATCCACACCGGTGAGTAGCAGGCAGATAAACCCTGCTAAGACTAGTGAGGAGAACGCCAATGAATGGCGTAACGCAGTCTCTCGCAAAAAGCGAGATAAGGACAATACATTGGCCACACTGCCCACGAAGGACAGAAAGACATTCACGCCGCAGAGCAAGAAAGCCACGGCAAGCAAACCTGATCTCTCTGACAGGTCGCTCATTCTCCACAAAGTGGAAGAGTCACTGGCCCCCGAACCCAAGACTAGATTTGAGCATGATCTTAACTTGGTTAAGCCCCTTTTAGACAAGCTACTGCCACAAACAGTATCAGGCATTACTATACATAGCGTATATAGAATAGGCCAAAAGCCTGAACCTACAGTAAGTCAGCCTGTACGTCTCCTCAAAGTCGTACTAAACTCTAAAGAAGAGAGGGATGCTATTCTAAGCAACTCTCATATACTTAAAGGATCAGGCATATATGTCCGCGCCGACTTAAGCCTGGCAGACCGTGTCAAAAGACAGTCTGCGGCCCTAGAATTAAGCAAACGACGCCGAAACGGCGAAAAGAACCTTAAGATTAAGGGTTTTCGGGTTGTTCAAGTTCGCAGTTTAATGATCCCGAAACCTCTGTGGGTAGGCCGGGGAAGCACCAAACTGAATTAACAGTTTGCAACACAAACGCCCGCTGCCTGTTAAATAAACGGACTGAGCTGGTTAGCATGATAGACTCCAGAAACCCGGATGTAATTATTATCAGAGACATGGCTCACACCCGATGTCACTGACAGCGAAGTTAACCTGCCAAACTTCGAAGTGCATAGGGTGGACCGACTAAACCGCAAAGGAGGTGGCGTAGTCATCTACCTCAAGAAATGCTTAACCGTGCGTAGTATCGAAGCACTCGCTCACGAAAGTGAGTCGTGCGAACTTCTACGCTGCAGACTTAAATGCATAGGCCAAGACATTGACCTCATTGCTATGTACCGCAGTCCTGACTGCAGTGCAGATGACTTCCTGATAGAGAAGCTAGGCTCCTGGACCTCGAAATGTCGAAGTCTCGTAGTTGGCGACTTCAATGCCCCAACAGTTGACTGGACGAGCCTAACAACTCCATCCTCAGTCAACTCCTTTGATTATAAACTGCTGGAATCTAGTATATCGTTAGCTCTAGCCCAACATATCATCAAGCCCACGCGCTATGACTCACAGCGCTCCTCCTTAACTCTGGACCTAGTGTTCTCCCATGGTGAGGATGTAGATCTCATACGACATCTTCCTCCTTTAGGAAGAAGTGACCATGCTGTGCTCACTTTCAAGTTCACAGCAACGGCAGCAAGGGCCAAAACCCCATCTTGACCAAACGTTTGGAAAGCTGATATAAATGCAATCGTCTCAGCAGCCAACTCAGTAAACTGGTACATCAACCCAGAGTCTCAAGTAGAAGCCGCATGGAACCAATTTAAACAACTTAACGCCCAAGTAACTGAACCTTTCATCCCTTGGTCTGTCCCAAAGGGTCGGAAACACTGCCCTCCTTGGATAAACCGAGAGATTCATAAGTTACTTAGACGTAAACACAAATGTTGGAACTTGTTTGCCCCACTTGAGACTTCTGAGACCAGGCAATTATATAACACTGCTAGAAATAAAGCTATTGCCGAAATCCGCCAATCAAGGATGAAATTTGAAGCACACCTGGCTCAAAATGCAAAGGCACAACCCAAGAAAATTTTCTCGCACATGAACTTCAGGAATAAAACATCCAATGGTGTCCCAAACCTGACTATTGACAATGATACAATCGAAGAAGATCAAGAAAAAGCAGAAGCAATGGCAAACTACTTCTCCCAAGTCTTCACTCAGGAGTCGTCACTGCCTATAGGATCAGCTCTGGCTGCATCAGAAGAACATGGGATAGATTCCGTTGACATCGACCAAGGCATCGTGCTCAACTGCCTAAGGAAACTAGATGCAGGGAAATCAATGGGTGCTGGTAATCTTCACCCAAGGCTTCTCAAGTAGTTATCAGCCCACATAACCGGCCCTTTGACTACGATCTTCAAGCTTTCTCTCCAAAATGGAGTGTTACCGCGTGACTGGAAAGACGCCATAGTAACCCCCATCCACAAAGGAGGATCAAGACAAAGCCCTTCAAATTACAGGCCTATCAGTCTCACCAGCACTTTAATTAAGACACTGGAGAGAATCATCAAGAAAAGCATAATGGCATATCTAGAAAATAGAAGCTTATTATCAAGAGCACAGCATGGCTTCCGAAGGAACCTCTCATGCCTGTCAAATCTCACTGCAAGAGAAAGCTGGGTCAAATCCAGGGACAACAGAAGACCCGTTGACGTCGTCTTCATAGACTTCAGCAAAGCCTTTGATAAATTACCTCACAAAAGACTACTCATGAAGTTGGAAAGTCTTGGTATCAAAGGCAGCTTACTAAACTGGCTCAGGGAATTCCTCATAGATAGGAGGCAGAGGGTTAGGATCAAATCGAAACTCTCCTCTTGGACAGCAGTACGCAGCGGAGTGCCACAAGGCACAGTGCTTGGACCTCTCCTATTTATTTTGTATATCAATGAGTTATCTCTGCTCACCGACTCCCCTATGGTCCTATACGCAGATGACTTAAAAATTTGGAGAGAGCTGAAGGGCAATAGTGACACGTCCACGTTGCAACAAATTGTCAGAGTGGTCCATAGAATGGATGCTCCCGAAAAATGTGGCAAAATGTGCAACCATGCGCATTGGACAAGCAAGCACGAGCTCTTATGAACTAGAGGGAATTACACTTCCATCAGTTCAGACTCACTTGGACTTAGGTGTCATAGTTAGCCACGACTTAAAAACTACAGCACACTGTCGCGCGGTGGCTGCACGTAGTTTCAGGTCATTATGGGCAATTCGTAGAGCCTTCACTAGAATCACCAGAGATATGTTCACCTCCTTATATACATCTCTGGTGAGGTCAAGACTGGGAAACTGCATCCAGGCCGCCAGCCTTTGTCTAAAAGGGGACTCACTTACTCTAGAAAGGTTTCAAAGGAAGGCAACACGTACGGTTCTCGGAATGACTAATTTATCATACGAGGAAAGAATAGACAGTTTAAATCTCTTCTCCTTGTCATACCGTAGGCAGAGAGGAGATTTAATCACAATGTTTAAAATTTTAAATATTAACTACGAACCTGACCTATTCTCTCTTTTCCTTCCCACCAGGTCGGAACACCTTAGAGGACATAGCAGGAGAGTTCAAAATCAAAGAAGAAATCATATTGCTGTTGAGTACTGGTTCTCACACCGAGTCATAAACTCTTGGAACCGACTCCCAGAAGAAGTGGTGTCTGAAACCTCAACTGATTCGTTCAAGAAGGGTTTGGACAACCACAGAAATTTACTAGAAAAGGAGTAACATAGGCTTCAAGACTTTTATCCTCAACCAATAAATCTGAAATCTATTGAGTGATAGAAAGCTTGGGCATATGTTAATTCTATTCTAGAAAATTTCTGTTTGTCTGAGCCTTCACTGGATAAATCAATTGAGGTTGCAGACCACTTTTTCTGAGTCAGATCCAGGTTTATGACTTGGTATGATAACCAGTATTCCACAACAATATGGTTTTCTTGGCTTTTTATTTATTGTGTTGTATTCCTATTTTCTCGTGAAAAAAATGAATAAATCCCGTTACTATTACTAGACTTTTGATACAAATATACATACATGCAGGGTACTTGTTATAAGCAAGGCTTACCTTCAGGTCTGCTATTGCCTGATCATATTCCTCTTTCTCCCGACTGATTTCACCAAGTTTCTCTAAACACTCAGCTACACCTAGTTTGCTGGCATCATCGTTCTTTTGCGAGAATATAATTTTCGCGACTTCAATAACTTCCCAAGCGACCTGGAGGTTTGTTGGCTCTTCCTCATTCTCAGATTCAGGCGTTTCCGAAACTTCATTTTCAGTCTCCTTGGAGTCGCTCTCCTGTTCATCCGATTTATCACCCTCACCTGGGAGCTCCACATCTGCGGCAGTGTTGACTGGTGAGTTTCCTTCGGTGGGTTTATCAGCCGCATCAAGTTCATCATTTTCGTCACTTGTCTCGGAATCATTAGACTGATGGTCCGCCTGCTTCTGTTCTTCCAACATTGCATCTATTACTTGATTGGATAGATCATCTTCCTCCTCAGCTACAAAAGTTAAACAATGATGGATCTGTCGTACCTGTTAGAGCTGAAGGTTCAACGACCTCATCGTCTGATTCTGCGTCATCATCGACATCAGGTACTAAGGAAAATAGAAAATTAATTGTAACTAACTTCCATCCAGTGCATTGCCAATAATACTGCTTTCCATTCGTGCAAATTCGAGGAGAGCAGTACCATACAGCAAATTTGGAGTGGCAAGAGATTCGTGCAAGTCTCCATACTTAGATGATCTGAAAATATTGATATTGCACTAGAACTTACAGAATGTTGCACGCAATTTCAAGGCTTTCGATCGCCTTCATGAAGTTCCCACACACCAATTCTCTTCTCCCCTGGCTTATCAATTCATCAGGTGATGGCTCCATGCTGGCAGACGCAAACTTTCAAATTTCGGGATGTGAGCATATACAATTAACGGTTCTCTTCACTATTGAACAAAGTGATTCCAGTGCTTGGTATCTGCTCTTCAGAATTAAGATCCAGGCCAGACATAATGCCTCGAATTTTCTAAACAAATTACTATAAGGAAGTGGAACTATGTGCATTGCTATGGAAATTTCACTTGAATATAAATCGAAGGGAGTTACAGATTCAAACGCATCCGTGTACTTGTTGTCGTCGAACCCAAGCCTTTTATCCTCGCAGTACGCTGGTTTAAATAGTATAAATTTATGTGGTGAATTAGCATTTAGACCGATATGTACATCGTACGTACAACATCGTACAAATCCGTGAGTAGCATTTATCTTCAGACAGGACAGTGATAAAAACATCAGGTTTTTTTAATTTTTTTGGCTGGAAAGATCAAAATATTCTCTGGACATTTCACCCCTGCTCCTGAGTGAGAAACCTTCGGGTACATGGAACTGAAGGTACGTAATCATGTCAACCACTCATTTGTACCATTAATCTGAAATTTTACCTGTAAATCAGTCCCATAATATTCCGTTAATCCCGAAACATCTTGTCTACAGAGGGGGATCCGACAAAGAGTCAGAGTAAGACAAATAAATCAATATCAGTAGAAACATTGTCATTGAACTTTCACTTTGGACTATTCGTCGCAAACAATGATTACCGAACCTAAAGCCACAATGATCATTAACGGAAATTTATTTCCTAAAGTGCGCGGATGTTCCTAGTTAAGCTGACTGAAAGAAAGCCCTTTAGCCTACTGTTGGGCCATATGTTCTTGATGGATAGGCAACGGTGCCATGAAGTTTCTAGAGGACTCGGTTTAATTAAGTAACATATTGAACAGAACTGACCTCTGTCAGCGATAAAGTAATTAGGACGGAGAATAAATTGAGGTAGTCTCTTGGCAGATATATGGACACGACTGACTTTGTCACAGACGATTCTACCGAATGACAATACCTTGCTTCACTACTAACTAAGCGCAAGTGTATGCTGGTATTACTGCTGTTTCCGAGACGATCCTGTGACGTCATTATTGTCGGAAAGGCAATCGGGTGAAACCGAACTCAGGAACCTGTGTGAATGAGAGCATAACCTCCAACCCTAAGACCTTTGACTTTGTGACATTACAGACTCTTGATTATTTGAATGTCACGTGGACGTCAAAGGTGAATCACGAATCTATGGAAATCATTTCATCATCCAATTCAGTTTTTCCGTGAGTGCCCTTGTGTCACTTCCTTTGGTGCATATTACTGTTGGACACACCATAGTCTTCAAATAAGTCAAGAGAAACCTGTGCTTCCAAGCCTTCTGCAGACAAAGACTCCCAGTTAAGCCATATTTCAGTCCTCTTTTACACCTATTTTCTACTTGAGAAAGTGCTCTAGTGCTTTTTAGTCTTTTCACTGGAGTGAAGTATGATGGTAAATAAGTTTCTCTCAAACTGGGTACACAACCTAAGAAGTGATTATTTTTTCTGCATACTCTACAAAAGCCTCAGACAGCCTGAACTGGTAAATGTCACTGCTGGTGGATACTTCTCTTGTCATCGTGAAACATTTTAACACTGGTTGGGAGGCATTCCGAAAAAGAATTTTTTAAAGTAAAAGTGTCAGCTTCATCCGAACTATATGATTACTTCCTCGTAATTAGACTCATTAAATGCAATAATGTTGAAACTAATTAAATCGTAATCGTCTGTTGTTTGATGAACCACGTGTTATCTCACCAGAAATTCACCCTACACGACAGTTCATGATGACACTGTCTTTTTCTGGTTGCTAGTGTAATACAGTATTTCCCACGACGGCATATCGTTGCCGGATACTCCAATACTTGTGACAACTCAGTTAGATCTTTTATGATGTTACTGGTGAAACGCACATGACCAATTATTTACTGATTCTGAGCTCCTAAATGGGATTACTATAGCTTTTCACCACACTTCCAGATTACACTTCACTTACAAAGTCATCGAAGATAATTTTACCATGGTTGAAGTTTCACGGGAAGCCACTCTGCAATAGATTCCCAGATGCAATGGAGCTACGTGGGTGGACATATTATCACATTATCATGGACACACTTTTGTCGGAAGACCCTTACCTATGCAGAATACACGTCAGTCACACAGCTCCAGGAAGTGACAGTAACTATAATCTGCACCTTTAACACTTAGCTTTACTCATTAAAACACCCCTCCTGTGAGCAAGACAGTAGATGGAGCGTATCTGGTTACTTTATCGGAAACCTACGCTGGGACATGTTCCTCTCTAGCGGCAACCTTAATACTACTCAAGTAGCCCTTCACCGTGGTGTAACACTATGTTTTGATAAACCTGTACGTAATGTAATAAAGTAAAAACCGTTATAGATAGACTATTTAACGATGTTTTCTTTTCTCCCTTCCAGGAGTCCATTCCGTGGAGCAGGAGACACAAAGACTATCGGGACTCAATATCAATGATAACAGTTGGACTGTCTGTTTGTGAGGGCTTAACTCATGCTCTCTGATTTCTGCCAATGTACCAAATACGCCTCATATGGAGCTCTCGTTCTTCATTTCTTCCTTGCCATGGTACAATAAAACACATATTCTCCGGAGAAATGTAGGATAAACCACGAGGACTACATGACGGTACTTCACAGGAAGTGAATAATTGTCTCCCGTATATACTAATACCATAAATTGGGTTTTGCTCGAAGATATTACAGCTGTTCAAAATAGCTGCAAGTAAACTGCAATCCACTGGCTCTAAAGCAAAGGGCCAGACAGTCATAAGGTTGGCACTCTAAATACGCGTGAATGTCTAAACTCTAACTTCACACACTCCCCCAATTACGATGGTAATGCATCATCACAAGCAAAACTGCCCCCGAGTTCACATAAACCCTTGGAAATTATCAGTCCACCCAGATAAGATTCTCCAAGCTTTTCGAAATTGAGTGGAAAAAGCATTTTCCTTCTCCTGATTCTTGTAGTGATTTTCATCTCTCTGTCAACTGGAATGTGTGCATATGCACGCAAAACGGCGCACATTACCCTAGGTATAAGTCAGACTCTCGCTCAGGTATCGTGAGTTACAAACCCAGGAGTCTGACTTCCGTTATCTCAAGGGTTCCGAAGAATATTGTGAAAAATGCTATTTCAAACTTCCTCTCAAGAGGAACTCGTTACTCCTTATCAACTTGGTTTTTGAGGTAACAATGCTCCATGGTATACCATCTACAATTTTTCGATGACATCTCACAACTTAGAGATTCCGGCAGGATCACACTTATCGTCCACTCAGACTTAAGTAGAGCCTATGATACTGTTAGTCACCGACTGTTAACAACGAGATTCCAGCCGTGTGGGAGTCGAGGTTTGTTGTTAATAGATTCGCTTACTTCCCATCATATACACATGGTCATGGTAGGTTCTTGTGTGTAACAGATAGCGACACACATTGGCTGACTGGTGCTGAAGTCAGCTGCTATTGTGATGCTTTATTAGGGTTGTTTTACGCTGTTTTCATGATTTTTATTGACTGAAATGCGCTAAAAAATATATCAACCAAAAAACTTGTAAAAAATGGAGAAGAATAGTCGTTTCAGCACTTTGACCGGACCTCTAGTTGTCACCAAATTGACATTTTTCTGAACGTTAGGATTCATTGGAAAGTGTTAATTAACGTGAGAAATCTGAAATAATTCAGGTAAACGAAACATATTTTCACTAATGATGAAAATGCGTTTGGAATATGAGGGTTATGAAAATTTCATCAAACTCACAAGATATTACAGTCACAAAGGAATGTGAGTTGGTTGATTGGTAAGGTAACAGTGGAAAGACGACTTTTTAACTAAGAGTTAATTTTTCCGTAGCATTTATTTAATGGTAACCATTTTTAATAAATCCTCTACTGCTTTTACTGTCCAGGTTATGATAGTTACTTCCTCAAGAGCTCGATTTATTTATTGGCTTTCATGAAGTATAAGGAGATGATATATGTGTGAACGATAGAACATTTGTGATATTGTGAATGCATATGTTGAAATAAATGATTCTAAATAGTTTGCATTCAATTCATACATTATTAATACTGATTGTTCGTTGAGGTGAAAAGTGATGCCAATTTAGAGGTTGTAATATGCTTAAAATGCCACATTTACATGTGACTGAATTTGGGTATGATGAGGTACTGTTACTGCCTTTTAGTGGTTGCTTCCGCTGGAAAACTATATACAGGCGATGTGCACGACAGAAGCCTATGTAAAAAGTTACAATACTTTACGACAAATAAATAATCAATGAAGTTGGGTGATATGGTTAACTAACACATAAATCTAAGTGTCAATGCGATCATGTTAGGTCGTACTAATACGGGACGACAACATAGGAAGAGTAAAGTAGTTGTCATCTTAATGTCAAAAGATTTACTGTAATTGCTGTTATACGCAACATAAGGAAAATAGAATACTTGTAAGAAATAGGATACACGTTTCAAAGTGTTCTTGAAGTGCCCAGACTACCAATACAGGTCGTGTACGTATTCAACCTACGTTTGCTAGGCCATATTTCGTTATCACGATACAAACACATGTCCAGTGGCTATTTCGCTTCTTAACATTAGTATTCACTAATGTCATGCGCAACCAGATTAAATGTAACTGGAACATTTTACGTAAGACTTGATGACGCACTGAAGAAATAATAACGGTTTAAGACCTTGACGCGTGCGTCCATAGCATAGTGGTTAGGACGCTCGCCGATCATGCACATGGTCCGGCGTTCGATCCCCGGCCAACGCACTACTTTACCTCGCTAAGCCAGAAATAATGCTGGTGAAGAGGAAAGGTTGGGCGTGAGGCTAGCAACTTTATCCTGTAAAAATAAACACTGCTACAGAAACTTCAAGCCACTAGCTTGAAGCCCTATGTTCCACTGGGGAACGTGAAGGAA